ATCATCTGTAGCGAAACTATGAACGGGAGCTAGCCATCCGGGTTCAGGTCCCTAATTTTCACAACCCGAGACCTTACAGGCAATTTACGTGTATATAAAAAATCCGACCCAAACCGAACCAATCCCACCCCTTCCATATATAGGCTCTTAATCACAACTTATTTTTGAGTGTTTAATTTGGAATTTCGTTAAAAAACTAATATGAATGTTTAAACAATTATATTGCGTGATTCAATAGTTCTGCTTACGTATAACTTTTGTCAAAGTGCCTTTTGCACGGATTTGGCAAATATATGCCAAATTCTTTATGAATTTTGACGAATCTCTGCCAAAAATACATGTCAATCCCGCATTTTTTTTTATAAAAATCTTTGTAAAAATCTCAACTTGAGTAGATAAATCATGTTGAGCTCATTGTGAGAAGTGAGAACGTACTAATTATCACTCAATACTAATGCATATTATACATTGACATATGTGTTTTTTCATGACTCGACTGAATTGGTTTGATAGAAATCTAGTTTATGAATGATTTTCACCTATTACGTACACAGTTCTACACCCATATTTGTTACTATATATATATATATAGAGAGAGAGAGAGAGAGAGAGAAAACTTCATGTCAGGCCGGCCTGACGGGCTGCCCCGTCCGGCCGAGCCCGTTTGGGCACCTTCCCGGTGGATTTTTTTGATGAAATTTTTTGAGCATGTTCCTCATCAAGTCTAGTTTGTCCATACCAAATTTCAACTCAAAATTCAATCGGGAAGGTCGTCAAATGATTTTTGCAAGTTAACTGGTCCGGAATATGTATTTTCCGGACCAGTTAACTTGCAAAAATCATTTGACGACCTTCCCGATCGAATTTTGAGCTGAAATTTGATATGGACAAACTAGACTTGACGAGGAACATTCTCAAAAAATTTCATCAAAAAATTCCACCGGGAAGGTGCCCAAACGGGCTCGGCCGGACGGGGCAGCCCGTCAGGCCAGCCTGACATGAAGAGCCCTCTATATATATATATATATATATATATATATATATATATATATATATATATATATATATATATATATATATATATATATATATATATATATATATATATATATATATATATATATATATTATGTGCATGATGATGCTACGTTAAATTACTACCAGAGTTTTTAAAATAGCTTAGATGTTTTCCAGTTTTTTATATGTTACTATCTTTGTTTTAATTTAGTCGTCTAGCTCTCTTAAATTCGGAACAAACAAAAGTTTATTTTATTAGAAGAGTATTCACTACAAATAGAATTGAAGCATATAGTGAAATTTGCATTTCAATATTGTCAAAATATTTTTAAACTATTTATTTGAGTAAATATTTGAAAAGTTTATTCATTACAGGTTTTAACAAATACAAATTGAATATTATAGAATCACGGCTACAGATATATAGTGAAGTAGTGAACAACTCAATATTTGTATACAGGTAGTTTTTTTTTAGTATCTAATAATGCAAATTTTAATTATACAAAATTAAAGATTAATTGTTTTCTATGTAAGGTTGAACGTGACAAATATATTGAACTGAAAATACCTTAGTTTTCCCTATTGCGCACAGACACTAAGGAGGTGTTTACTTCACTGCTAAAGTCACAGTTAGGTTAGTAAGACATGTGAAGTAAACACGCACACTGCTTAAAAAGCCGCTTACTAACCGAAAGAGGTGCTTAAAGTGCCGCTTATTAAGCATACCACCCCCCATGTATTAATTAAGCGGCACTTTAAGCTTTTTCAGTTTCCGAATTTACCCCTTGCCCTTAACCTATTGTTATCCCTGCCCCACCTCGACCCCGACCTCACCCTACCCCGACCCACCCCTACCCCCTACCCTACCCCACCCCTACCCTACCTACCCAATCCCACCCCTACCCTACTTACCCGACCACACACTTACCCTTACCCTACCTACTCCACCCCTTACCCACATACCCGACCCTACCCCTACCCCGCCTCAACCCCCACCCTACCTACCCGAACCCACCCTACCACTACCCGGTTGGGTAGGGGCGGGGTTGGGGTAAGGTGGGGTCGGGGTGGGGTCGATGTGGTAAGGGCCTATGGGGTAGGGGCCTATGGGGTCGGGGGTAGGGTTGTGGTAGGGTGGGAACAGGTTAGGGTGGGGTCGGGTAGGTAGGGTGGGGTCAGGTAGGTAGGGTAGGGGTAGGGGGTAGGGGTAGGCGGTGGGTGGGGTCGGGGTAAGGTAGGGTGGGTAAGGGGTTAGGGGTATGGGTACATGTCACGCCCCGGACCTACCGGACACGTCAACAACCCGCCGTACAGTACGAATAGTCAACCGCAGTCCAACTCATCCATACTATACTAGGCGTCTTGAATACCATTCACACATAGTACATCCATAAACAACATAATGTAAAATAATCATTTAAAGCAGCGGAAATGTTCAATACAAATGTGCACGCCACACTTTGGCAACATGGGCATACAAGCCCTAAATACATATTAAAGAAAAATAATATCCATGAGCATGGTTTAAATCGTTTTCAAAACAGAAACAGAAGAAGCACGAACCACGTCTTCTTCTCTTGAATTCTCCGATACAACGGGCGGTAGCGGCAAGCTTTAATCCCGACCTGAAACTGTGAGGTGGCCTCCCCCGTGAAGGGGAGGTCAGTACTTGGAAGCATTTGACAAGTACAATGACAACTATACTAAGTATAATCAAAGTTTCAATTTCCAAGACCCTCAACTTAGGATGTTACTATTTGAAATTAATTTATGTTCCTTCATGCTAGAGCTCGGCTCATAGTCATGTTAATTTGTGCTAGAGCTCGGCTCATAGTCACACCACATTTCGCTAGAGCTCGGCTCATAGTCATTCCTACATTTTTGTGCTAGAGCTCGGCTCATAGTCACACTACATTTTGCTAGAGCTCGGCTCATAGTCATTCCTACATTTTTGCTAGAGCTCGGCTCATAGTCATACTACCACGTGCTAGAGCTCGGCTCGTAGTCACGTCATCTAATCCCTAAACCACTTCTTAGTCTAGGCTCCATTCCTTTTGAGTAACCCTTGAGGTCTACTCCTAACATAACTTGACTTCGTAAAGTCCACCCTAATTGTCCTTTAAGGTTACTTAGCTTCAATATCTTGGGATTAGCTCCCAAGCACTATTGAACTAACATCCCCGACTAGTCTTCAATACTAGTCGTCTAATCTTAATAAGCCAACGCCAATTTCATAATAATTCATACATTTCAATTTAATTTCACATTCAAGTATAACTTGATTCAATATCAAAATATCACTTTTATTCCCTTCATGAGGTAAAAGCATATTTATCACCATACAATTTTATAACTTACACCACAATTGGGTCATTATAATCACAACACATAATCATACATAATTTATTCTTAAATTTGTATATTATGCATTTTCTTTATGAACAATACTATATTCCATTTTAGGCATTCTTAATCATAAATAACTCATGCCAAACACATATTCATTTAGGCAATCTTATGAAATTAACCCAATAATTATAAACAATATAGTCGGTCATCCTCACCTTAAGTGAGTTTGAACACGTTCTACGCTTCCCGGTTGAACTTTGACTAATTTCCGGTGAACTTTGACCAACTCCGGCGAACGTTGACCAACTCCGGCGAAACTCCGGCGAAGCTCAAAAATACTTTAATCAAGTTCCTAACAAGGTTTTAACATCATAAAACCTTAATCAATACAAATAACCTATAAAAGGTTATTTTCCGGTGAACTTGTCGGTTTGGCTCCTAAGTCCGTTCTTGGACTTAGAACTATTCTCCAACCCATCATTCCACACTTTTATCATGTAGAACAACCCAAAGGGTTCTCCATATGATATATACCTCCTATGATGGAAGGAAAAACAAAGGAAAAGTCATGATAAGGTCATTACCTTGATCCTTTCACACTTTTAGCACTTTAGCTCCTTTTCTTGGGGTTCTTTCTTGTAGAGTTTTCTTCAACAATGGAGAGGGAGGCTTGAGAGTTTCTTGCTGGTTCTGGGTGTGGGTTGGCCGCAGGAAATGAGGGAGAGGGTGAGGGTGAGGGGATAGCCCTTTTTGTCTAAATGGTCAAATGAGGGTGGATGGGTCCCCTCATTTTTTTGTTTGATGCTTTTCCTTTCCATTCCAAGTCCTTCCCCCATGTTTTCCCATTCCTACCAGCCGACCACCCTATTGATTTGGGGGCTAAAATCGTGGGTTGGCCCCCACCCATGTGGGAGGTCAACCCTTTTTGCCCAAAAGTGTACACTTTGTCCCGAAAGTTGTATTTTTCGGACTGTTTTAATTATATTTTATTTTATCGGGTCAAATAAAATATATTATGCGTTCTTAATCATTATACCCTTTATAATGAATATTCATTCCCCAATTTTAATTTATAAGTCCCCGAAATTAAATTTTTGGGCTTTTATCGGTTAAATTGCCAATACCGGTACTTGGGCCTCTTTTGACCAATCGGTCAACTCAAGACCTTTCCATGGTTCAAATGAATTATCCACCACCATATAAATATTATCTAGACCAAGATGAATAATTTATGTGGTCCCGGGAATATCGGGCGGCCCCCGCTCCCGGTGCGGGCCCCACGTGCGAACTTACTATTCACGCAATAATTAATAAAATTTCATAACCTCGTAAATTCGTCAACCATTTCATAAGGCTAAAATACAATATTCACTTTAAAAGTAAATACATTTAGGGACGGTGTTACAGTACACATATTATATTATATACTTGTGTTCATGAATGTTTGTGTGTATATATATGTATAGGGTTATTTTGGACATTTTAATGTTAAGCGGTGTTTTAAACCGTTTGAAGTAAACACGGTCTTACAACATTGTTTATTTTATGCGCCGCTTATTAACACGGGTCTTAATAAGCACCGTTTAATAACCGGTGAAGTAAACATGTCCTAAGAAACTAAACATCATAGGGAAGGAGTATCAGTTATGGTAGTGTAAAGATTTCATGCCCGTATGCCACAAAGGTAAAAGGATACAAGAAAAATCCAAACTTATATTACATTCAAATTGAATTAGATAAACGCAACGATCCATTACAAGAACAAATTGTGCTATATATATAAGAAGCTCAACAATCCATTTCCCTCTGATGGCACAACAATGCAACAACAAAATGTGAAAGAGAACGACAAGAGAATAATACAAGAGAACCAGTCATTTTTTATGGTTCTACACACTTCACAATTCAACAATGAGGATCTTTTTATTAAACAAATTAGTAGCCCCATATACTTGTTGCTTAACTCTTCTCTTCTCGGAGCATTCACATTATTTTAACCATCACATACTTGTCAAGGTGGAGAGACTGGTAGAGTTACGTGTGCTTAGTATTGTGTTGGTGGTGGTGGAGAAGCATAAATATACACGGGTGGAGGAGACTTCAACGGTGGTGGGGGCGAGGTGTAGTGGTATGGTGGAGGAGGAGATGAAGATGGTGGTGGTGGGGATTTGTAGTGATAAGGCGGAGGGGGGGACGGTGAAGGTGGTGGTGGGGATTTGTAGTAATAAGGTGGTGGAGGAGATGGTGAAGGCGGGGGTGGGGACTTGTAGTAGTAAGGTGGAGGAGGTGATGGGGATGGAGGAGGTGGAGACTTGTAATAATATGGCGGAGGAGGTGAAGGTGAAGGAGGAGGAGGTGACTTATAATAATAAGGTGGAGGAGGTGATGGTGGTGGTGGTGGTGGAGATTTATAGTAATAAGGTGGTGGTGGAGATGGTGATGGAGGTGGTGGGGACTTATAATAATAAGGTGGAGGAGGAGATGGGGACGGTGGAGGCGGGGACTTGTAGTAATATGGTGGAGGAGGTGAAGGTGATGGAGGAGGAGGTGACTTATAGTAGTAAGGTGGAGGAGGTGACGGTGATGGCGGTGGTGGAGATTTGTAGTAATAAGGTGGTGGTGGAGACGGTGATGGAGGTGGTGGGGACTTGTAATAATAAGGTGGAGGAGGAGATGGGGATGGTGGTGGCGGGGACTTATAGTAATATGGTGGAGGAGGTGAAGGTGATGGAGGAGGGGGTGACTTATAGTAATAAGGTGGGGGCGGTGATGGTGATGGTGGTGGTGGAGATTTATAGTAATAAGGTGGTGGTGGGGATGGTGATGGGGGTGGTGGGGACTTGTAGTAGTAGGGTGGAGGAGGGGATGGGGATGGTGGGGTTGGTGACTTGTAATAATAAGGTGGAGGAGGTGATGGAGATGGTGGAGGCGGAGACTTGTAATAGTAGGGCGGAGGAGGTGATGGAGATGGTGGTGGTGGAGACTTGTAATAGTATGGTGGAGGAGGTGATGGGGATGGTGGAGGTGGAGATTGATAATAGTAAGGTGGTGGAGGTGATGGCGACGGGGGAGGAGGAGATTTGTAATAGTAAGGCGGAGGTGGTGATGGCGAAGGGGGAGGAGGAGATTTGTAGTAATAAGGCGGAGGTGGTGATGGCGAAGGAGGAGGAGGGGATTTGTAGTAGTAAGGCGGTGGAGGAGATGGAGACGGCGGAGGAGGAGACTTGTAAAAGTAAGGCGGGGGAAGTGATGGAGATGGGGGAGGAGGAGACTTGTAGTAGTACGGCGGGGGAGGTGATGGCGAATGCGGGGGAGGAGACTTGTAATAGTAAGGTGATGGAGTAGGCTTGGGCTTGGGCTTTTCGCATTCCCCATGAGTAGGCTTAGCTGCATAAGCAAATGGTTTGGCATAAAGAACAACTTCATAATCTGTCTTTGACTTCACTTTGAGCTCAGCACCCTTTATCCCCCAATGAAGATTGGTGGGAATATTGCATTTGGAATGCTTGGGTGGTGCATGAAGCTTGGCACTACATGCCTTTGCTCCATATTTTCCATAATCAAAACCTTCCACTTCTACACTAAACTTCCCATTGTTTTTGGTGTCTCCATACCACTTTAGCTGCTTCTTACCTGCCTTGCATGTTACTTCAACCACGGCACCTGCTCCATATATGTGTAACTATTAGTATAATCTTCATCAACCCTATTTAAGTCAAAGTCTTTTCTCAAAAAAAAAAAAAAAACAGAGTATTCAAAACAATTAATTTACAAGATTTACTAATTCCAAACCATCACTTTAATGTTTCTTCGTGGTATCATTTATAATCTTGTACCTAATGTATGTAAATCTTAAAGTCGTACGGATTATTCAATCTCTTTACAAGAATAAAAATAAAGAATAGTTTGACTAATAATACCATAGAGACCTAGAGACACACTTTCACACTTTGTGTCTTGTCATAGAGAAAAAGCTAGCCGACTTCATTATGTCTTGCTTATTTGTTTAAATAAACTTTGAAACGAAATTGCACTTCTATGATTTTATCACTGAATGTTGAATTTTCTCAAAGGTGGCTTCCTCAAAATTTTTCAACCTAAGAGTATATTACTAAAAAAAATATGAAAAAATGTAAAAATGTAAACTAATTAATCAATATCTATTGACTATATATTTGATCAGTGTATAGTACTCTCTCCGTAACACTCATATCTTCCTACTTTCCTTTTTTAACCGTAACATTCATATCTTCTCATTTCTAAATCTTCCCATTATACCCTCAATAATTTTAAAAACAATACACTATTACAATTACTTTTTTTTAGATTTATCCTTCAATCCAGCACACTATTTCATTATCTTTCCATCATATACTCAATAATTTATATCTCCTTTCACTATTCTTAATCTGACTTATTTTGGAAGTAGGAAGATATATGTAATACGGAGGGAGGGAGTAGTAGTTATTGTTGTGTTGAAAGTGACCACTGATAAAAAAAAAGGTCATAATTTTGGGAAAGACTTCCAAATGATGAGCGACTTTTAACTCCAAATGATGTGCTAATAATTTTCTTTTAATCCAAATCCACTTCAAATCAAAATGTTATAAGAGGCTTTAATTTCATCATTGAGAATTGAGAAAATAAGCGTAGCTAAGTAAATTGATCATTCAAATAGGTCACTTTAAATCGGGAACTCTTCCGGTAAGGTGTACCTTACCGGAGTCTCCGTGCGGCCTCCACATTTTGAGGGCCTTCCCGGTGGATTTTTTCGATGAAATTTTTTGAGCATGTTTTTCATCAAATCTAGTACATCTATACCAAATTTCAGCAAAAAATTCAATCGGGAAGGCAGTCAAATGATTTTTGGAAGATAACTGCACCCTTTATATACAGGAAAGTTTTCCCTTTAAACCAGCCTTCTTAACATTACAGTACAAATTATAGAAGCGCTTATGTTATTAATTATTGAGCGGACCGGGCAGCATGCACTAATATTTTACCAAACGGTTGCGGGTTGCTTCGTTTGGATGACCAGATTTCACTTGAAGATAAAGTTAATATTTCTACATAATATATTTAATTTTAAATCTAGCTATAATAAAAATTAATATTGATATTTCAAAAGAAATTTGAAATTTCTATAAAAAGGAAACATATGAATTTAGACATGAAATGAATTTGATAATTGATACACAAAGTAGATAATAGGAGAGGACATAATTGACTATAGACTAGTGATTAAGACAATTCATTTGGAAGGTAGCTAGATATTGGATGGGTGTGTTTTGTGTGGATAAATTCTTTTGAGTGTCTCAATTGAAGTAGTAGGAAACTATATCATACTTCATTTGTATTTTACATGATGTTGAGCATAAATATTTTAAATTATTAACTGTTCATTCTTTTAATATATAAATAAATGTAACAAACTAAATAACTCCAAAAAAAATTAAATGTAACCAAAATTAAAATCGGCATTTTCAAATGTGGAAGTCAAATCCAACACAAAAGAGTGGATATTAGCTAGCTAGTATGAATGACAAGTAGCTAAAAAAGTCCAACAGAACTGGACTTCAACGTGCGGTACTGCGGTTACGTATGCTGTTTCCCATCGTCCCATATGCGAGTGATGAAACTAAAAAGATCTGTATTTATTTTAGGACAATTTTACCCCTTTCATTTCAAAATAAAATCCTAATTTGACTTTTTAAGTAGAGCATATTTTTTTACCAAAAAAAAAGTAGAGAATATTTTGGTTAAAGCACACACAAATTTACGTAAATTTTTTCATTTTCTCGTTTAACTCACCCTCTATTATTTAAGTCCAAAACAATTATTTTCCGGTCTAACTCAACCTAAAATTCTGAATTTGTCCCGCTTTCAAGCCTTTTTTTATTATTCCAAGGGGTCTGAGGGAGGGGAGTTGGAGTAATCAGGGCTGAAACTCATTCCATTGAGTTTCCAACTCTTGTGTGCCTAGCGAGATTCGAACTCGACACCTCTCACTAGGCACGATAATCTCACAACCAGCTGGACTGGAATGCTTGATTGTCCCGCTTTCAAGTCTAACACTGTTAATTTTCATTATAATTAATATTTAAATTAAACCTCATATAACTATATTATCCCTGTTAAATATCTCACATCGAAAAATTTTGGATGAACAAAGTGCTATATTAACACATGAGCTACTCCTCCTATCAGGTTGACCTTTTAAGATGGAACCCTGTGTCTTAACATGGTATCAGGGCCAAATCGATCCACGGTGTGGGGCCCCTTATGAAAAATGATGATACAATTATTTAAAAAATGACAATTACGTCCGGATAAAAAAACGGACCGATGAAAAAAATATGAATGATGACATGATCCAGACGAAGTGTCTGGTCGTGAGGAGAGGTGTTAAATATCCCACACCGGAAAAGTTTGGATGAACAAAGTGTTATATCAACACATGAGCTCCTCCTCCTATTAGGTTGACCTTTTAGGATGGAACACTGGGTCTTAACAACTCCATAGTGATACTCTTTAATAAATACGGAGTAGTTTACTTTAAATCTATTGTATTTTTTTTGTTTTCTAATTATGTATTTCTAAAGAAAAACTAATACGTGTAATTAATAATGCGCTTTTGTTAAAAATATTTTATTTTACTACGGAGTATTTAATTTAATACTACAGTAATAAGAGGAAACGAATTTGATATTGGGACGATAATATCTAGAAATAAAGTTAGAATTTAATACGGAGTAATTGATAAATAAAAGAAAATTGAATTTAATTACGTAATTGAAGAGAATATGAACAACTTTAATTTTACCTTTGAGGTGTTTTTTGTCATGTGATTTGTGGGGGTTTTCCCAGTCATAGCACCTGATACAGTACACTTTCCCGACAACTTTAAGAATCAAGCCGTGATGACGTCCAGGTGGTGGTGGTGAAGTGTAGTAGTACGGCGGAGGAGGAGATTTAACCGGTGGAGGTGGAGAGTTGTAATGGTACGGAGGTGGAGGCGATTTCGCCGGTGGTGGTGGAGAGTTGTAGTAATACGGTGGTGGTGGAGATTTCTTAGGAGGTGGGGGTGACTTGTAGTAGTACGGTGGTGGGGGAGATTTCTTGGGAGGTGGTGGAGAGTGGTAGTAATATGGTGGCGGTGGAGATTTTTTAGGAGGTGGTGGAGAATGGTAGTAATATGGTGGCGGTGGAGACTTCTTAGGAGGTGGCGGCGAGTTGTAGTGGTATGGTGGTGGTGGAGATTTCTTAGGTGGTGGCGGAGAATGGTAATAATATGGTGGCGGTGGAGACTTCTTAGGAGGTGGCGGAGAGTTGTAGTGGTATGGTGGTGGTGGAGATTTCTTAGGTGGTGGTGGAGAATGGTAGTAATATGGTGGCGGTGGAGACTTCTTAGGAGGTGGCGGAGAGTTGTAGTGGTATGGTGGTGGTGGAGATTTCTTAGGTGGTGGTGGAGAATGGTAGTAATATGGTGGCGGTGGAGATTTCTTTGGTGGTGGTGGAGAATGGTAGTAATATGGCGGCGGTGGAGATTTCTTCGGTGGTGGTGGAGAATGGTAGTAATATGGTGGTGGTGGGGATTTCTTAGGTGGTGGTGGAGAATGATAGTAATATGGTGGTGGTGGAGATTTCTTAGGTGGTGGTGGAGAATGGTAGTAATATGGTGGTGGTGGAGACTTCTTTGGCGGTGGCGGAGAATGGTAATAATATGGTGGTGGTGGAGACTTCTTAGGCGGTGGCGGAGAATGGTAATAATATGGTGGTGGTGGAGACTTCTTAGGTGGTGGTGGAGAATGATAGTAATACGGTGGCGGTGGAGACTTTTTTGGTGGTGGTGGAGAATGATAGTAATACGGTGGTGGCGGAGACTTTTTCGGAGGTGGTGGAGAATTATAGTGATATGGAGGTGGAGGCGATTTTACGGGTGGTGGTGGGGATTTATACTGATAAGGTGGTGGCGGAGAAGATGACGGAGGCGGGGGAGATTTATAATGGTACGGTGGCGGAGGCGATGGTGAAGGTGGAGGCGGAGATGAGTAAATATAAGGATCCCCCGACACCACACTAGAAGCGGCTAACACTACAAGTACCGCCACGACATGGTGTGGCATTAGACGACCCCTACCGGGGTCGCCACCGTGAACAACCATCTCGTCTCCAGTAAGGAGCTAGCACCACCAGTGCCGGCGGCCGAACTTAATGAAATATACTCGGAATGAAAAAGGTACGTATACAATAATCTACAAAATAATAAAGCTCAGGTTTGAGAGCAAATTAAGTTGGTATTTTTGTGATGACGATAGGCTTCCTATACCCAAAGTATATATAGTGCAAATTTCTCCCTCAATTAGTTGTTGGTGTGGAGCTGTCCATTTGGGACCTATTCAATCAATGAAATTAATACTATACTCGTAACATTTTATCTTTGTTAGTCAATATTGGAAAACAATATAAAAAGTAAAAGATGAAACTTCTACCCAATATCGTAGTAATTACATTTCAAATAACAGCTGGACGTCCCAAATATTTTAACCCTATTTGATAGATCACTTTCAAATTTCCATTATTTCCAGTCTTTCTCTACCAACCCAGTGGTGTTCCTTCAATTAATCAAACATACATATGTGCAGAGTTAGTCGAATGGCTTAAAATATACTTACAAGTTACAGCGTAAGTACATCCAAATCCATTTTAAATTAAGTTTCATGATGGTTTTTCATTCATCTATAAGGGATAATATATGTGCACATATGTATTTGATGTTTATTTTCTCTTGCAAGTTGCAACACGTTCGTCTTGTACGTTAATACGTAGAATTATTTACTTTTGAATGAATTAATTATATGCGTATGAGAGTTGCTAGCTTTTCTGATCTCTAGACAATTATCAATAGGAATACTTCGTATATAGCAACGCAAATAGGCATGAAAATGTGTCGGACGGATAGATAGTGCTAAGCCCAAACCGGCCTTAGTGATTTTATTAGGTTGACTCCATAAGTGATTAGATGTTGTCTCATGACCCACTCCAGGAAGATTTATTGCCCTAATTCAATCAGCAAGTATGTGCACTACATACACCATAAAAAAAAATTGCCATTGGGACAATGATCAGTTATAAACATTTTTGATAGCTTACCACAATACTGATAGTCATATACAGAGACAAATGAGACCTAAGTATAGAGAGAGAAACTGATATACTAATGATTTTCAAACCGTTTACATTTTCCCTTAAGGATGATCAAATGGGCATTTATACTATAAATAAATGGTAGGTGCATGAAATGCACATACACATGTAATTAAGTGGAAGAAATTGATGTGTGGCGCCAATGACCGCTGAGTAGAGGACGAGGTAATCGAGGTCCTCGAGGATGAGGGGCTTAGGACCCTCATCCTTGTCTTCGTTTCTTTGCAGTGTTAGTTTGCTTCCGTATCTAGTGGAGCCCTTGATTGGAGACGAGGCGTCGGAGGACGATGCGCCGAAGGACGGGGGTCCTGGACAGGCCGTGATGTATGCCCAATGTATGTTTGTATCCTTTATGCCCAATTGGTTGTTTGGGCTTCTTGTACACGATTATGAGTGTGTGAGCCACGAGCTTGAGTACATATACTCTATTACTAAGGAGTACTCCGTATTAAATAGGGAAAGGCTCATGACTGAATCCCTTATTAAAGTGCTCCTTATTTTCAATCCCGGCAATATGCTAACTTATGTTATTAAGTACGGAGTACTTCATCACCATATATACTGTACGCTACTCCCTGCAGGCTTTCTTTTAATCGCATGCTTTTCACGAAAATTAATGGAAACTTGGAAACCGGAGTCGAGAGCTTCTCTCTCTAAAATCTTCGGCGCTCTCTAGGGTTACGGCCGCTAGGGTTTTGAATTCCGATTTCGTTTTTACGAAGATCAGTGCTTATCGGAGTGGTGAAGGCGAATGAAGGCAGAGGACTGGGTTCTCGTTTCGGCAGTCTCAATCGCGGCTTGAACTTAGATGAACAGAAGGAGCAGGGCTTGGTACGGTCTCAGCTGGGACTCAGGCGAATGGACGGAGCAGGATTGATGGCCAAAGGTTGTGTATGGTAGAGAGGTTTGAGAATGTCGTTCATGGTGGAGATCAAAAGGTCATGGACGAAGCGTGGGGCTAGGGGTTGGATCAGATCTGGATCGGAGGCAAGGGGCGGAAGATGTTTCAGTACTGTTGGACCGTCCCCCGGCCCTCCTGAACCACCACCATGGAGTGCAGGAGAGTCTAGGGTTTGGAAGCAGTATTTTAATTTTATTATTTGCTTGCTATTTAATTTCCATGGTCAGACTGTTTTGTTTTACTTTTATTGTTTCTTTTGCTGTAAGACTCTTGCATTAGGTTTGGGGGGTGGAAGTTCTGCGGTAACCGTCATTGGCTTTATAAGTTGCCCTAATTTGGTCTAGCGAGTTATACTGCTTTTGTACAGGTGGTTAACTCTCAGTCTCGGCCACGGAAGGATGGTTACATGTGGTTCTTTTATTTTTCTGTACCCATGCTGAATGTTATTTCTATGAATTAAGCCCTTTTCGAGCAAAAAAAAGTACTGAGTACTTCATTAATGATGTATAAGTCGTCATTGAGAACTTAAGTGCTTTGTTTACAAAATTTTGTTTAATAACTGCAAATCTCTTATTGACATTTTTATTACGAAGTATTAGAATGACTTTAATTTCTGTGTAATTGGGCAACTCTATTAACATTTTTTGTTATTGGAATGACTTTCTATGTATATTTTTTACACATTTCAACTTGTACTGATCGACTATATCTTGTTCGATGGAGAGTGAAACACAAACACATGCATTTGGTGAAATTGAAATGTGCTCCTAATGCATATTTCAGTTTGACCTAATACACAATAAACAATTCTAAACTAAATGAACTTCAAATAATTCATAATAACAATTCACAAAATCTAAGTAATGTTTTAATCAAAACTTAACACGTTACAAATCCTAATTTAGGCATTAACATTAATTGCTAATAATAAAATCTAATAATTTGAGCATATATATATATATACCCATTTGAATTAACTAATAGTTAAATTTAACTAATATTAAAAAAGTTTAAGTAATTTAACACTACATTTAATTTAAATTAATCCTACGTTTAACTAATTTTAACTAATTCATTTCATTAATTAATTAACAACCTTTTTTATACACATTTCAATTAACTAATATTTAAATTTAACTAATATTATCAAAAGGTACACTAATTTAACTAATTAATTTAACTACGTTTGAACCTACGTCTAGGTAATTAATTTTACTTAATTTAACTTAATGCATCACTACGTTTAAACCTACGTTTAGCTAACTAATTTTAATTAAATTAATTTATAAACTTAAAAATTTAACTAGTTTTATTACATCACTATGTTTATAGTTAAATATACTGTTAATTAATTAACAACCTCGCTAATTTAATAGCTTTATTTATTTAAATTGAACCAACTAATTCTAAATAAAAAGAATTCAAATAATATACCTTATCTGCATAAACAAGGAAAATGACATAAGATAGACTCCATCATTCGATCTTTCAAACAGATACTGTATTATATATACTGTGAATGAATTGGTGTGCTTCTGTTGAATGAACTGAGCATGCATATATAAAAATCCTAGTCACGGACCTAGTCACGGATTTTTCCGTGACTAAGCCATTCCGTGTAAATTGCGTGTGGGAATATTATTATTCGTTTTTTAGTCACGGACCTAGTCACAGATTTGTCTGTGACTAATTTAATCCGTAAAAAATGCCGTTGCGAAATAAATTTTGAGCATTGAAAAACTAATTTTTTTTGTAGTCACGGACTTAGTCACGGATACGTCCGTGACTAAGTGCCGGAATAAAAAAACCACACCGGAAATGGAGTTGGGCTACCGGAGGACTTTAGTCACGGGCGTTAGTCACGGATTTGGTTAGTCACAGACGTAGTCACGGCCATATCCGTGACTAATTTTTTTTAAGTCCGTGACTAGTCCGTGACTAAGCTAGTCACGGACGAAATCCGTGACTACCGTCCGTGACTACACGCGTGTTTTTTTGTAGTGTCAATTTGACATTATACAATTCGGTCAACCGTCTAAATTCATTCTCATTTCCCTCCTGAAATTATTTTTCATTTAAACCGAATTCGAAAATTAAAACCGAATTATATATATATATATATATATATATATATATATATATATATATATATATATATATATATATATATATATATACACACACACACATATATATATATACGGAGTATATATGAAGTCTAATGGAAAGAAACATTTTTAACTTTTGCGTAATTGATATATATATAAATCAACGGACCATCATTGCATGAACATCACATATAATTTTTGTGTAAGCCTCTTCACTAATTAATTAAGAGGTGATTGAAACTACCATCGAATTGAGTCAAACTATGAGTCAAACTAAGAGCAATACTTGTGCAATCTTGCTCCTGTATATTGAATATGGATATGGAAAAGTGTTGAGTAATGACCCTTGTAAAGTTTTCAAATTCAATTGAATTTTAAGAGTTTTTTTTAGAAAAAACTCATATGGAACCCATTCATTGTAGAGGGGTATATAGGTCGGTGAAATAGAAATCTAAAAATCAAATTGATAAAAAATGAACCGCATGTAAAATAAACTGAATTGGAAAAATAAGTTTAGGGTGGAAATCAATATATATTTTTCAAACTGATCACATCGAAATCGGGGCGTTTCACCAGAGCCCAAGGTTTAGGTCGATTTTTAAAACAACGGTGATAGATCTAGTCATCAAGATTCAGCATCGACTCTGCCATAAACCATTCATAAGGCTACTGACACATTGTTTACATCAAACTATGTAGCTACATTCATGTAAAATGTTTCATGTACTTATTAAACTCTCACACCATAAAATTGTGAAGTAATAAAGTACAGAGTATTATATTAAAACATGAATCATCTTCCTATTAGATTGACTTTTTAGGATGAAACCTAATATATTAATATGGTATCAGAGCCAAATCGATCCATAACTATGGCATGGGGCCCATATATATGAGAAATGACGATAATTATAAAAAATTGACAATGACGACCTGATGAAAAAATGAATGACCGCACGATCCCGAGAAAATGTCTGATCATGTGGAGGAGCTGAAGTAATAAAGTGCTACATTAAAATATGAATTATTACATGATTACATCTTGAGGGCCGCAAGATATAATCAGCTAATTATTTACCAATGTTATTCCCTACATATGCACGTACGAGAAAAATTGTTTATTTATGTAAGAAGTATAAAATGTAGAATGTTGTTGCGTACTCGAATGATTTTGTTTGCTTGTATGGGAAAATATAGAAGCTAAATCATATCCTTTTTCTTATGTATTTGTAAAATGTGGAGTATTCTACTTTGCCACATATATTTTGCACAATACGGTATTTCGTATGAGACACTTTGAAAGAAAAAAATGACAAAAGAAAATCGTTTGATTCGTGGCCTCTGGACAATTGACGGACAATTGGACAGCCCAAACACAAATTAATGAACGAGAGAGCGCTAATTCACATAGAAGTATTTCTATATTAGGCATATAAAAATACCGGAAGAGATAGCTTTTAAAATTGAAAATTGCTTTTAATGGAAAGCTTGAAAGAAACTGGATAACAACTTTGTTGCATTTCACTGTACGAAATGGGTTCAGGTTATACTCCTATACACATTGTCTTCTTTTCATTGGTCCATTTTACTGTATGTTGATTTGGGTGATGACTCTCATCCTATAAATTCAGTCACTTTAATGTACTCTCGTCCCTAAATAAATTTCCAACTTTCCTTTTTCGTCCGTCCCAATTAAAACTTCCACTTTCCGGCCCTTTTTGGCAAAGAATTTGTGGTTCACAGCAATTCTTACACATTTCTCTTTCCTCTGCACAACTTTCCACCACATAATACTCACTATATTAAACTGTGTGTCAAACCTATTTGGAAGTTTTATTAGGGACGGAGGGAGTAACTATTTTTATTTTATACTTTTTTTTGTTTTTGAAACCTGACATAATTTTATTGGAATTTTTGAATATCTAATTTAGAGAACGTTTAGTAGGATGTAAAATAATTACTCTGCATGAGAAGTGTATGGACGTGAAAGGTTTACACAATTTGGTTTGATTATTTAACTGTAGAACACTTTTTAAAAGTATTTTACACTGTATCTTGTAAAATATTTTACGGGAGGATTGTGATAAAATATATTTTCTTTATAAAAACACTGCAATGACTAGCCAAACAACATAATTTATTTGAAAAATTGCCCTAAGTAGGAGTAAACAACTTTGGGTGTTTCAAAATATGACTACTATGTTTGAAATATGAATTGTTACTGTCATGATTGAAAAACAATATCATGATCGAAAAATACTGCAATTAATTATTACTCTGTAATAAATAATGTCATACTGAATTCATAACACTACAACTATTTGGCAGACATGATTAAAGATGACAGTATTACTCTTATTTCAGGAAGAAATACAAAACAATGCTATTTTAAAATTTCATATCCTATTTGGTCCTATTTTAGAAATCCAATCATTTTGCGTGCAATGATTTAGAGCCCGTTTGGAGAACTCTGTTTTCGGCTTATCAGGCTTATCAACCAGCTTTTTCACCAAACACGTAACTTTTACTTTCACGCGCTGAATTGTGTAATAAGCCGAAAAAGTAAGGTTGGAGTTACTTTTCTGGCTGTATTGGCTGAAGTTACTGTAGAGGACCATTTTAGCTATTTTTACATATAATTTTTTCTTTAATTTATTAATAAAATATATTTTTAAAATATTTTTTTCTTAAATCAGCAGAATCAGCCAAAACAGTCACTCCAGCCAGAATATCATAAATTTCAGCAGAATCAGCCAAAACAGCCGATTTTGGTGCTACCAAACGGGCTCTTAATGTCTATACTATCAAAGGAGGAAGTAATGAAATTGAGAATAATTTAAAGAAGAACAACATAAGAACTCGAGAAGAAAAGGGAAATAAAGCAGATAGTAATGAAAGCAAAAAGAAAAGAAAAAAGATGTATGAGCCAATAAGAACAAAAGGAGACAACTTTTATCACATAAAGCCTACCTACAACATCATCTTTTATGGAATAGAGTAACATGTGATAATTCGATCATAATTGTACCCATTCACTAATTTCCCCAATTTCGTATTATATTCACTAAATATTTGATATGGAAATTGGGTGATGCTGATGATTGTATATTTGATAGTGGTAAAAAACTTATAATATACCTTCCTTGCTTGACGTAATTAGTAATGGCATTTGATCTACGGGATTAAATTTGGGACAAATAGAGACCAGGGAGTTATTTTAAGGATGATGACATGGGCGGGATAGACTATGTAAAATAGGGCATAATCCAGTTATCATTTGGCAAAAAATTGGAGTTGAAGAATGAATGTACGTCCCACAAACAATCAAATGATTAGGAGGTGGTGGTTGAAGAAGAGTCAGT